TGCCATCAGGAGGTCCACCAGTGGGGCCAGGACATTAGAAGCCCTCCCACTGTTGACCCCCCCCCCCAAGCACCAAGAAGACAGAGCATCACTTGCCCCAGTATACCTTGTGGCTAATAGCCACTGATGGACCTATGCTCCATATGCTTATCTAATTCCCTTTTGAAGCCGACAACAGGGCAGAGAGGCTGAGGCCTTCCTCTGAGGTTGCCTCCTGGCATTAGGATCCAGAGGTTGACTCCCTCTGAACACAGAGGTTCCCTTTAGTCACCATAGCTAGTAGCCCCCGATAGTCCTCTCCTCCATGAATCTGCCTAATCTCCTTTTAAAGCTGTTTATGGTAAGACCTGCACTGACCTGGATAGCCCAGGCTAGCCTGATGTCATCAGATCTCTGAAGCGAAGCAGGGTCGACCCTGGCTAGTATCTGGATTAGAGACCTCCAAGGAATACCAGGGTCGAGACACGGAGGCAGGCAATGGCAAACCACGTCTCTGAACATCTCTCACCTTGAAAACCATACAGGGTCGCCATAAGTCAGCTGTGAGTTGATGGCAAAAAAAAGAGAAGAAGATAAGAACTGTCTGTGTTAAGTCTTGGCTTGGCAACTGAAGGATCCAGATACAGAATGGAACCCATCGGTTACTAGGCTTAATTCAAGGTACTGACAATCATGGCTTTGGGCCCTCATATCTGCAGGACCGCCTCTCCCCCTACGCTCCCCCATGACAGCTTCGCTCATCCCAGCAGGGCCTTTTGCAGGTGCCAGAATCAGTAACTGCGGGTACACCTGTATTTTCTCTTGTAGTCCCCACGTTATGGAATGGCTTGTCTGATGAGGTTAGGAAGGCTCCTGCTGTGCAACCTGTGCAAAATGGAATTATTCAGGAGGGCTTTTTTGCACAGGCAATAGGGCTGTACAAGTAGAAAAGAGCCAGAGTCCAGTAGCACCTTAAAGACCAACAAAATTTGTGGCACGGTATGAGCTTTCGTGAGTCACTGCTCACTTCTTCAGTGATTCATGAAAGCTGATACCCTGCCACAGATGTTGTTAGTCCTTAAGGTGCAATTGGACGTTGGCTCTTTTCTGCTACTACAGGTAGACTAACATGGCTACCCCTCTCAATCGAGGACTGTTCTGAAATGTAATGGTTCAGAAATTTGCATCTGTCAAGGGACAGGGACTGAGGCCTTATACTACTGTATAGCTGCTGTAAGTATGCTCCCGACTGCAGCTTACGTCATTTGACGTGTCATGTTTAAATGCTTGTGCATTGTTTCAAGTTTGTTTCAGCTCCGTTTTAGATTTTTTGTAGTCCAACCCCTATGGCATTGTTCATTGGCTGTCCCGTTGATTGCATTTGACTTAACAGTATCAGACCAGTGGTCCATCTTGGCTGTCAGTGAAAAAGGTGAATTATAAATAATGTAAATTGAAATAAACACGAATACTGGCCCATGGACTTCTGGTTGCTGACTCCTGCCTTAAACCATTTGTTGTCACGCGCAGCAAGCTAAGTAATTGTCTCTGAAGAATATGGACTCTTTCTTACAGTTGTTGAGAAACCAAATTAGGAGCTTGATTTGTATGTATGAAAAGCAAAATCCTCTAACAGGATTTTTATGCAAGGTTGAAAAGCATATATGTAAGAGCAGTCATAATACAGAGCAGCTCAAATTGATAACACAGCATACTTATGAGAAAGTGATCGGATGTGTTGAGCCCCCTTTCTAGCTTAAACCTGTCGATGAATTTTAATTCAGCAATTTTCCATCGGCTTCTCCCTTTGAGGGGCTGTAGCTCGGTAGCAGAGCATCTGCTTGACAGGCAGAAAGTCCCAGGTTCAATAACTGGCATCTCCAGTTGAAAGGACCAGGTAGGCAGTGATGTGAAAGAGCTCACCTTGAGACCATGGAGAGCAGCTGTGAGCTTATATTACAATGAATCAGTTAGTCTTCAAGGAGCCACAGGATTGTTTTGCTTGGCTGCAAGAAATTAGCCAGTACTGACCTTGATGAACCAGTGGTGTGGTTCAGTGTAAGGCAGCCTCATGTTCTTATGTTCAGTTTTCTTCATTGGAGAATGCTGCTTTCAGGTCAGCCACAGAGAGTTCTGGAGGACTGAAACGATCTCCCACAATTTCTGCACCTTGCTACTATCTGTCACGCTTGCATCTGTTTCGTTCAGTCATCCAACAGCTGGCCTCAGCATCCTTGCCCAGAATGGGCTGCAGTTCCCTGTTGATACATTAAAGGTAAAGGTAAAGGTTCCCTTGCTCGAAAGCCAGTCGAGTCCGACTCTAGGGTTGCGGTGCTCATCTCCGTTTCAAAGCCGAAGAGCCAGCGCTGTCTGAAGACGTTTCCGTGGTCATGTGGCCGGCATGACTAAACACCATGGCGCACGGAACGCTGTTACCTTCCCACCGAAGTGGTCCCTATTTATCTACTTGCAATTTCTTGCTTTCGAACTGCTAGGTTGGCAGGAGCTGGAACTAGAGACGGGAGCTCCCCCTGTCTTGCGGCACCCGGGTCTTGAACCGCTGAACTACTGACCTTCCACAGCCTGCAGTTCAGCGTCTTAACCACTTGAGCCACCACAGCTCCTGTTGATACATTAGAGTGCTTTTAATTGGGAAATCTGCAATTGATGTCATGTTGATCACTCTTTGGGACCCATCCTACAGTAGTCTGTCCTTGGGTACTGATTCTTTCCCCTTCATGGTACGGCTATTGAGATTTTAAGAGTGCCTCCTTTATATCCTTATATCATTTAGATATGAGACTCTGCCTAAGGAGCTGGAGCACGTTTGGTAGCATTATAGGGTGTTGAGCCAGTTTGGTGTAGTGGTTAAGTGCACGGACTCTAATCTGGGAGAACTGGGTTTGATTCCCCACTCCTCCACTTGCACCTGCTGGATGACCTTGAGCAAGCCATAGTTCTGTCAGAACTGTTCTTGAAAAAGAGCAGTTTCTGTCAGAGCTTTCTCAGCCCCACCTACCTCACAGGGTGTCTGTTGTGGGGAGGGGAAGGGAAAGGGGTTTGTAAGCCGCTCTGAGACTCCTTTGGGTAGTGAAGGGCGGGGTATAAATCCAGTCTCCTCCTCCTCCTCCTTTTGTGTTGGTTTAAGATATAAAGTGGTGATAATATGTCTGTCATGTAGTTACATGACAATGTCTAGAAAGTGAATCTTCCAATATACTCAGTTACTGATCTAAAAGTCAGCATTCTCCAGCAAGGGAAGGAGAGAGAATCCATTGGGAAACTGCTGACCTAGAATTTGTTCCGAGGCTATTGTACTTTGGTCAGTTATGAAAAGACAAGAGTCACTGGGGAAAAAACAATGCTAGGAAAAAGTTGAAGGCGGCAGGAAAAGAGAAAGCCCCGACATGAGAGGGTTGGACTCTATAAAAGAAGCCGCAGCCCTCAGTTTGCAAGACCAGAGCAAGGCTGTTAATGATAGGACGTTTTGGAGGTCATTCATTCATAAGGCTGCCATAAGTTGGGAGCACTTGAGGGCACTTAACACAAGAATCCGTCCACAGGTTTGGCAGCACTCGCCAGGGGGGTCAACAGCAGTGTTCCCTCTAAGCTGAGTTAGTGTGAGCTAGCTCACAGTTCTTTAGCCTCTGGCTCACACATTTTTGTCTCAGGAAGGATGGCTCCAGAGCAAACTAATTTTATGCAGTAGCCAAATCGCTCACTCACAGCTTTAATGCCAGTAGCTCACAAAGTCGAATTTTTGCTCCCAAGACTCCACAGCTTAGAGGGAACATTGGACAGGTCTGATTCTTTGCTCAGTCTCTATAGGGGTTAGATTCAGGTGGGGTAGCCGTGTTGGTCCGAAGCAGCAGAACAAAGTTTGAGTCCACCTTCTATTATAATTATAAGCATGAAAGCTTATACCGTTTATAAAACTTTGTTGGTCTTAAGGGTGCCACTGGACTCCAACTACCTTCTACAGGGGTTAATTTGCTTAACACAACCAAGCCCGTGTTATTTATTACCGTTGTGAGTCAGCAGTTGTGCTTACCTGTATACTTTTCAGTTTTGCATAGAAACGTCACAAACCAGGTTCTTTTGTTTCCTTTTCTCAGTGTATAAAAAGTCTGTCTAACTGAGGATTCCCTTCACAATAAGTAACACAGGACTCAAGACCTGAAAGCTTATATTGCAATAAATCGGTTAGTCTTCAAGAAGCCACAGGATTGTTTTGCTTGGCTGCAAGAAATTAATATGGGCACCACTCTGGAATGTCTGTCTACTCTAGATAATGCCTATCTCAGCTTGGTGTAATGGTTGAAGTGTCGGACCAGGATCTGGAAAGACCAAGATCCGGATCCCCAACTCTGCCATGGAAGTCTGCTGGGTGACACTCTCTCTGCCTAACCCGCCTCCACAGGGTTGTTGTGAGGATAAAACGGAGGAGAGGAGAACGATTTGTGCTGCTTTGACTCCCCGTAGGGGAGAAAGCCAGGATATAAAGAAAGAAAACAAATATGTCAGAGGAGTATATAGGAGTCCCTCTTGCCACAATTTTGTCTCCACAACAACCCTTTGAGGTAGGTTGGATTGAGAGACTGACTGGCTCAAGGTCACTCAGTGTTCTTGATGCCTGAGTGGGGACTTGAACCCAGGTCATCCCAGTTCTAATCTGACATTCTCTAACCACTATAGTTCACTGGCTCCCAGTGTCCAGAGCCTCTCTGTCCTTGGGTCCCTGTTTTATAGCTCTGCAGCCCTTAAAAACGATAATTTTTTTGTTAAACCTGCAAGGTCAGTGTTCACCTTACTAGAAGACGGGGCAAGAGAAACCTGCAGGGCTTTCTAATACGATGTTCCTGCCGGCACGTGAAATTTTGATTGTGGTGCCTGAAGGTCAGGGTTGGGTTGCTGTTTTGGCCCTGCCAAGGTAAACCAAAATGATCATAAGACTGTATTTGCTTTGTTGTTCCTTGGATGATTAAAGCTGTTCCCCCCCCACACCCTCTTTTTTTAAACAGGACTCAACAAAACTGTGCAAGAAAGGTGGAGAACCCACGCCGGTCGAATGCTCCACAGCCGAGGGCAGACCAAGGGAGAGCAGTCCGCATTCGAAGAAACCTTCGCCGTTGCACTCCGAAGCGACCGATTATGGGAAGTCGTCCCTTTCTACTCCAGTCAGTAGCCGCGATCCAGACTCGAAGGACAGAGCTCAGATTAACGGGGCCACCACCGTCACAGAAAAATTGGCTCAGCTCATCGCCACTTGTCCGCCGTTGAAGTCTTCCAAAACGAAGCAAAAGAAGCCAGCCATGGGGGTTGCCTCCGAATTTGCTAAAGACTCTGGAAAGAAGCTTCTGCCGACCGGGACCCCGACGGTGGCAGCTAGCAAGGACTTCGTAAAGAAACTACCTGGCAGTGGCAGTATGGGCGCTGCATTGGCCAACAAGGATTTTGCAAAGAAGGCGCCAGGAATAAGCAGTGGATCTGGGTTGATCAGCAAAGACTCTGGGGCTAAAAAGCAACCAGGGACGTGCCCTAGTGCAGCTGGATTAGTTAGTAATAAGGATTGTGGGAAGAAGCCGCCGGTCCTTACCCCTCCGATAGGCTTGATCAGCAAGGAGAGTGGAAGGAAACCACTAGTGGCTGGTGTGCCAGTGGGGCTAGTGAGTAAGGAATGTGGGAAAAGATTTCTGGGGTCTAGCAGTCCAATCGGATTGGTCAATAAGGAGATGAGTAAAAAGCTGGTAGGGGCTGCCACTCCCCCTGGGTTGGTTAACAGAGACTTGGGGAAAAAATTACCAGTGTCTGGCAGTCCAGTTGGCTTAGTTAATAAGGATACCGGAAAGAAATACCCAGGTTCAGATAGCCCAGTTGGTCTAGTTAACAAGGATTCGGGAAAGAAACTGCCCATGACCAGTAGTCCAAGCGGGAAACTGCCCATGACCAGTAGTCCAATCGGTTTGGCCAATAAAGACTGTGGGAAGAAGCTTTCAGGGGTCACTGGTCCGATTGGGTTGGTTACTAAAGAATTGGGAAAGAAGGTCCTGGGGGTTGTCACGCCACCCAGTTTAGCGCTTAAGGACTCTGGAAAGAAAATGGCAGGGGCCAGCAGTCCACCCGGGCTGACTAACAAAGACTCGGGGGTTCCGAAAGCAGACATTGGTAATGCTTCCTCCGAGCCCTTCAAACGCTTTTGCAGCGGAAGCATCATCAATCTTGATGGTCCGGAACCCGCAGCCCCTTCGAAAGACAGCGGGGGCATGAAAGTGTTTGAGAAGCATGTTCCAAGGCAGAGCAAAGAGAGCATTCCAGAGAAGTTGGCAGTTCAGAGAGACATCTCGGGTGGAGGCAAAGAAGGGGCCTGCGTGCAGCAGGAGGCTCCTTCTCCTGTGGAAAGGGGCACTGCCGATGCATCGAAGCATGACAAGCAGCTGCCGGTGTATTGCACTTCCCCGGACTTCAGGACAGCCGGCGGCGCTTCTGATCTGTCTACGGCCAAATCGCCCTTTAGCGCTGTAGGAGAGGGGAACCTCCCGTCCCCCTCCCCGGCAGGCTCCGTCACCTCCTTAACCCGAAGCCCCACTTCAACCTTGGCTCAGCTGACTCCCAACCCGTTGCATTTAAACAGCACGCCAGAACTCTTAGAAGGAATTTCCGAGCCAATTAGTAAGTCCCCATTTGCCACCGATGGCGCACGCTCAGCTGCAAACAGGCTGTCCAGCCCCGGCTCACACGCCACCAGCAAAGGTATCGGTTGGGAATTAAATGACTCTAAAGTCGCCCACGCAGACACCCCGAAACCCAGCCCCGCCCTAGGTAAAAAGCTCAACTTGGCAACCGAATCAAGCATCCGTGCCGCTATCGCCCCTTCGGTGGTTAGCTTCTCCAGCTTATTTAACAATAAACCCATTCTAAAGATTGGTGCCATGACTGCACTGGGGAAATCCTGCCACGGAGCTGACTCCCCAAGTAGCCGTGGCGACTCCCAAACAAAGCCCTTAAAGAAAAGGAAAGGACGGAAGCCACGCTGGACGAAGGTGGTTTCTAGGAGCGCTTGCCGGTCTCCCAAAGGGCTAGAATTAGGAAGGCCTGACCTTTTCAAAAACATTTCTTGCAGCGTGCTGTCAAACAGTAGCCTGGACCAGGCCAAGCTCTTTAAAAACACAGGCTCGCCTTCTTTTGCAGAGCACGAGTTTGTCAAGCATCAGTTGCCGAAGCTGAACAAATCGGGTGGCATGCAGTCTCTCGATCTGCTTAGTAGCGTTGACAAGGAGTCCAGTAAATTTTACAGTCCTCATATGCAGACTTCCAGCGGGTGCATTTCGGACGATTTGTTTCCTGAGATGTACAAGTCCAAAAGGGGCAGATCGAAATCCAAAGAGATGCCCCATTTGGAAGGCCCCCCCAAGCGCACCTTGAAGATCCCCGCCTCAAAGGTCTTTTCGGTGCAGTCAAAGGAAGAACAGGAGCCTCCAGTGTTGCATCCAGAGGTCGAAATCCCTTCTCTTCGGCAGAGCCTTTCGGAGCACGCCTTTCCAAAGAAGAGAGGTCGGCCAAAAAGACAGATCAGGTCGGGGGTCAAAATGAAGCCCCCTGTTCTGTCTGTAGCTCCTTTTGTCATGTCGGACAATTCCGACATGCTGGAGCCCGAAAGCGACCAGCAGCCGAGCGAGGATTTCTTTGAAATGTCGGATCCCCTCGGAGACCCGGAGGAACTTGGGGAAACAAATGCCTGTAACGCGCCTGAGCTTGAGGTGGAGCCAGACAGAAAAGAGACCAGGCGAAACAACGGGCAGCTGATGAAAACCATCATCAGGAAGATCAACAAGATGAAGACGCTAAAGCGGAAAAAGTTCTTGAATCAGATCCTCTCGTCCACTGTGGTGGAACCAAATAAAGGGAAAGTGCAATCCAAGCTCCACACGACGGTGTCGACCCTCGCCGCCACCTTTAGCTCAAAACTGGGGCAGCAGATCAACGTCAGCAAGAAAGGAACGATCTACATAGGAAAGAGGCGAGGCAGGAAGCCCAAATCCATCCTGAATGGCATCTTGGGTAGTTCTGCCAGCTTGAGTGTTCTTGAAAAGTCTGCCCAGCAAGCAGGGGGGGCTGTGCTAGGCCAGGCAGTCCCGCCTTTGCTGACTTCTGCAGCTAATAACTCTGAGATCCTTCCATCACCAGTTTGTTCTCAATCCTCTGGGGTGAGCGGGGGTCAGAGCCCGGTCAGCAGCGACATGGGCTTTGTGGAGCCCAACTCAGTCCCGTACTTACACCTCCACTCCAGGCAGGGGAGCGTGGTTCAGACCCTTGCGATGAGAAAGGCCTCCAAGGCCAGGAGGAGGCTCTCCCCGCCGACTCTGCTCCCAAACTCCCCGTCCCACATGAGCGAGCTGAGCTCACTGAAGGAAGCAACCCCCTCGCCCATCAGCGAGTCCCACAGCGACGAGACGATTCCCAGCGATAGCGGCATCGGAACCGACAACAACAGCACTTCTGACCGGGCCGAGAAGTTCTGCGGCCCGAAGAAACGGCGGCACTCCTTCGACCACATCTCCCTCGTCCCCCCGGAGACCTCCACCGTCCTGAGCGGCCTCAAGGAGAAGCACAAGCACAAGTGTAAACGCCGGAGCCACGACTACCTGGCCTACGATAAGATGAAGCGGCAGAAGCGGAAGAGGAAGAAGAAGTACCCGCAGTTGCGCGGCAGGCAGGACCCTGATTTCCTGGCCGAGCTGGAGGAGCTGATCAGTCGGCTGAGCGAGATCCGGATAACGCACCGGAGCCACCATTTCATCCCCCGGGACTTGCTGCCGACCATTTTCCGAATCAATTTCAACAGCTTCTATACCCACCCCACTTTTCCTTTGGATCCTTTGCACTACATCCGGAAGCCGGACTTGAAGAAGAAGCGAGGCCGGCCCCCCAAAATGAGGGAGGCAATGGCGGAAATGCCTTTCATGCATAGCCTCAGTTTCCCCTTGTCCGGTACTGGATTCTACCCTTCCTACGGTATGCCTTACTCTCCTTCTCCCCTCACTGCTGCTCCGATTGGCTTGGGCTATTACGGGCGGTACCCGCCAGCCCTTTATCCCCCTCCCCCTTCCCCTTCATTTACCACCCCACTGCCTCCTCCATCTTATATGCATACCGGCCACTTGCTCCTCAATCCGGCCAAGTACCACAAGAAGAAACATAAGCTACTGCGCCAGGAGGCATTCCTCACCGCCAGCCGGGCGCCCCTCCTCTCCATGAGCACCTACCACCCCAGCGTCCCGCCAGAGATGGCCTACGGCTGGATGCTGGAACACAAGCATCGGCACCGCCACAAGCACCGCGAGCACCGCTCCTCAGAGCAGCCTCAGGTCTCCATGGAGACCTTGGCAGCCAACGGCTCTTCCCGCACCGTCCTGGAGTCTCTGAAGCGTTACCGCTTCGGGAAGGAAACGGTGGGCGAGAGATACAAGCATAAGGAGAAGCACCGGTGTCATATGGCTTGCCCACACCTGTCCCCTTCGAAAGGCCTGCTAGGCAGGGAGGAGCAGTGGGTCAGGAGGGAGCCAGCGGAGTCCAGTTCACTCTCACTAGGATTACAGACACCATTGCAGATTGACTGTTTGGACGCTCCTCCCAGCCTGCCTTTGGGGCGATTCACGCCGAGTTCCGAGCCCGCCAGCAGTGATGAACACACGAACCTCTTTACCAGTGCAATAGGTAGCTGCCGAGGCTCTGGCTCTTCCGGTACCGGCGGGCGTAAGAAACTGTCCGACAGCTCGGGGCTGTTCAGCCCCCAAGAAGCGCCGCTCAGCCGTCCCACGAGGAAGGAGACGTTGCCCCCCATGGAGAAAGCGCTGACAACCTTGCCAGGTAAGAAACCTCTCTGGTCGCTCAGGTTAACATGTTGTTTAAAGCCTCCTTCCTAGGTCTCAGGAGTGAGTCAGCAGGTTCCCCTCAACACACCATTGTCCTTTTGATTGTCAAGGGGTAGCCGTGTTACTTCGTTGGCTCAAGCCAAAACAGAAGACAGTATGAGCTTTGCGAGTCACTGGAAGCGACTGGTGACTCGCGAAAATTCATGTTAAAATTCGGTGCCACTGGATTTTCATTTTACCTTTTTGTCAGGGCAGCAGACTGAGAGAAAGAGAGAGGGTTTCAGGGCCAGGCTGCGCGAGACGCATTCCCCAGACCAGGAACCTCAAATCCAGTGACTGGAGCTTAATCTGCAATAGCGTAGCCCAAAGCCGGAAGAGAAAGTATAGCACTGATAGCCAGGAGAAGGCAAAAAGGAGCCACGGTCTATTGACTGTGGAGATGACAGGGATTGAACCTGGGCAATGTGAAACCTCTGGATGTGTCAGGCCCAGAATAAATAAGGATCCCAGGCAAGGCTCCCTCTAAGCTGTGGAGTCTTGTGAGCAAACAATTCTACTTAGCGAGCTACTGGCATTAAAGTTGTGAGCGAATGAATTGACTGCTGCATAAATTAGTTTGCTCTGGAGCCATCCTTCCTGAGCTAAGACAAAAATGTATGAGCTGGAAGCTAAAAAAAAACTGTGAGGTACCTCACACTAATTCAGCTTAGAGGGAACAATGATCCCAGGTAGCTGACGTTGGTGAAGACCTTTCTCTGCCCGAGAGCCATTGCCAATCAGAGCGGTCAGTAAGACAGAGCTAGGTAAGCCAGAGGTCAAACTCGGCATACGAGAGTTTCACAAGGTCACGTGTCTGCCTGTTATAGGTCTGATGCCGCATACTTTCTCCTCTGTGCCTGAGCACCCATGGTCCTAGGTAGCTCACTAACAGAACTTTTTTGGGGTGATGAGGCGTGGGGGGAGGGAGGTCCGATGCTAAAGGGAAGCCAAGAAAGAATGGGAAGGTCTCAGGCGTTTGGTCACCCTGCCACTAAAAAATGCGGAGCCGGCTCTAGGCAATCGGACTGAATTTTCAGTCCTACATAAAGTGGGTGAATGTTTTCTCCAGGTCTGTTTCTTGCCAACTGACTGATTTCTACCAACAGAGTGGTGATGATTGTAAACCAGTGGTACCCTGCGGTTCCCATGGGTCTTCTGAGCACTGTTCTCTATGGCACCTGCCCCGTGGCCCAAGAAAATAGACATTATTGTTGTTGTTAAGAACATAAGAACATAAGAGACGCCAATGTTGGATCAGGCCAAAGGCCCATCCAGTCCAACACTCTGTGTCACACAGTGGCCAGAAATACCCGTGCCATCAGGAGGTCCAGCAGTGGGGCCAGGACATTAGAAGCCCTCCCACTGTTGACCCCCCCCCAAGCACCAAGAAGACAGAGCATCACTTGCCCCAGAGCCCCTAGCTATACCTTGTGGCTAATAGCCACTGATGGACCTCTGCTCCATATGCTTATCTAATTCCCTTTTGAAGCCGTCCATGCTTGTAGCACCCACCACTTCCTGTGGCAGTGAATTCCATGTGTTAATCACTCTTTGGGTGAAGAAGTACTTCCTTTTATCCGTTCTAACCCGACCGCTCTGCAGTTTCATGGAGTGCCCACGAGTTCTTGTATTGTGAGAAAGGGAGAAAAGTACCTCTTTCTTTACCTGCTCTTTCCCATGCATAATCTTATAAACCTCGATCATGTCACCCCTCAGTCGTCTTTTCTCCAAGCTAAAGAGCCCTAAGCGCTTTAACCTTTCCTCATAGGGAAAGTGTTCCAACCCTTTTATCATTCGAGTTGCCCTTTTCTGCACTTTTTCCAAAGCTATAATATCCTTTTTAAGGTGTGGTGCCCAGAACTGCACACAGTATTCCAAATGAGGTCTCACCATTGATTTATATAGGGGCATTATTATATTGGCTGATCTGTTTTCAATACCCTTCCTAATAATCCCCAGCATAGCATTGGCCTTCTTTATTGCAGTCACACACTGTCTCGACATTTTCAGTGAGTTATCCACTACAACTCCAAGATCTCTCTCTTGCTCAGTCTCTGCCAGTTCAGACCCCATCAATGTGTATTTATATTTAGGATTTTTGGCTCCAATGTGCATCACCTTGCACTTGGCCACATTGAACCCCATTTGCCATGTTGACGCCCACTCGCCCATCCTTGACAGATCCCCTTGGAGTGCCTCACAATCCTCACTGGTTTTCACCACCCTGAACAACTTTGTATCATCCGCAAATTTAGCCACTTCACTGCTTACTCCCATCTCCAAATCATTAATGAACAAGTTAAAAAGCAGTGGACCAAGTACTGATCCCTGCGGTACCCCACTGCTTACCACCCTCCACTGAGAAAATTGCCCACCTACACTCACTCTCTGTTTTCTATGAACTAGCCAGTTTTTGATCCATAAAAGGACTTGTCCTTCTATCCCATGATTTTTGAGCTTACTTAGGAGCCTTTGATGAGGAACTTTATCAAAAGCTTTCTGGAAGTCAAGGTAAATAATATCTATTGGATCCCCCTTGTCCACATGTTTGTTCACCCCCTCAAAGAACACTAACAGGTTAGTGAGACAAGATCTTCCCTTACAGAAACCGTGCTGAGTCTGCCTCAATAGGTTTTGTTCATCTATGTGCCTACTAATTCTTTCCTTAATAATGGTTTCCACCAATTTACCCGGTATCGACGTCAGACTGACTGGCCTGTAATTTCCCGGATCTCCTCTGGAACCCTTTTTAAAGATGGGAGTGACATTAGCTACCTTCCAATCCTCAGGAATGGAGGCAGATTTTAAGGAAAGATTACATATCTTTGTCAGGAGATCTACAAGTTCACATTTGAGTTCTTTCAGAACTCTCGGATGTATGCCATCTGGGCCTGGTGATTTTTCAGTTTTTAAGTTGTCTATCAGTTTTAGGACCTCCTCTCTCGTCACCTCAATCTGACTCAGGTCTTTCAACACCCCTCCTGAAATCAGTGGTTCTGGAGTGGGCAAGCACTTCTCATCTTCCACAGTGAAGACGGAGGCAAAAAATGCATTTAGCTTCTCAGCCATTTCCCTATCATCCTTCAATACTCCTTTTACCCCTTGGTCGTCCAAGGGCCCCACTGCCTCCCTGGCTGGTTTCCTGTTTCTAATGTATTTGAAGAAAGTTTTATTGTTGGTTTTTACGTTTTTTGCTATATGCTCCTCATATTCCCTTTTTGCCTGCCTGACCTCAGACTTGCATTTTATTTGCCATAGCCTGTGTTCCGTTTTATCAGCCTCACTGTGACTAGCTTTCCACTGCTTAAAGGAATTCTTTTTACTTTTTACAGCCTCCATTACTCTGTTTGTTAACCATGCAGGCTTTTTCCTATACCTGTTTGTGCCTTTCCTAACCTGCGGAATATATATTTTTTGAGCTTCTAGGATCGTAGTTTTAAATAGATCCCAAGCTTCCCCAATTGTTTTGACCCTTTCTACTTTTCCTTTCAGTTTCCTCCCCACGTGTCCCCTCATATCAGAGAAATTACCCCTTTTAAAGTTAAAAATGGTTGTGTGAGTCTTTTTGGCCAATTCTCTATTTGTACAAATGATGAACTCAACAACATTATGATCACTGTTTCCAAGCGGTGCAATCACTTTTACATCTCTCACCAGGTCTTGAGTGTTACTTAGGACCAAATCAAGGATCGCCTCTCCCCTGGTAGGTTCCGTGACCATCTGCTCCATAGCACAGTCATTTAGAGTGTCTAGAAACTCAATCTCTTTTTCCCGGCTAGAACACATATTGACCCAATCAATGTGTGGGTAGTTAAAATCACCTATTATTACACAGTGTTTTTGTCTAGTTGCTATCTTTAAGGCATTCATCATTTTATAATCCTCCTCTATCTTTTGATCTGGTGGGCGATAACAAACTCCCAGTGTTAAGTTTCCTTTTGGCCCCCCTATTTCAACCCATAGAACTTCCAGAAGCGAATCCAATTCACTTAGCCTCTCAATCTTTCTAGACTTTATACCCTCTCTGACATACAGAGCTACCCCACCTCCAACCCTTCCCCCCCTATCCTTCCGATATAATATATAACCGGGAATCACTGTGTCCCACTGATTTTCCTCATCCCACCAAGTTTCAGAAATACCCACAATGTCTATTTTTCCCTCCGACACCAAGCACTCCAACTCCCCGATTTTACCTCGGACACTTCTAGCATTTGTATAGAAACAGCTGTAATTTCCCTTACAAGTTAAGCCTGCATCCTTCCTCTTGCTATCTCGAGTCGTTGTCCGGCAGTCCATGTCACCAGCCATGGCCTCTGTGGACAATTTCAATCCACCTCCCTGTAGAAAAGCAACCGGTACCCCCTCACCTCTCTCAGATGAGCCAACCCGAACCAGAGACTTTTCATCTCCTGTCGGCTTTCCCCCAATATTCAGTTTAAAAGCTGCTCTGCCACCTTTTTGATTTTAAGTGCCAGCAGCCTGGTTCCTTCTCGGGACAAGTGGAGACCGTCTCGCCTGTACAGCTCCCTCTTGTTCCAAAAAGTATCCCAGTGCCTAACAAACCTGAACCCTTCCCCCCTACACCATCGTCTCATCCACGCATTGAGACTCCTGATCTCTGCCTGTCTCTCCGGCCCTGCGCGTGGAACAGGCAACACTTCTGAGAAGGCTACCTTGGAGGTCCTGGACCTAAGTTTCCTGCCCAGCATCCTAAATTTCTCCTCCAGGACCTCACGACTGCATTTCCCCACATCGTTGGTGCCGACATGCACCACGACCACTGGCTCCTCCCCAGCACTATCTACCAGCCTATCTAAAACACGCGTAAGGTCCGCTACCTTCGCACCAGGCAGGCAAGTCACCATACGGTCAGTACGCGGGTTCGCCACCCAGCTGTCTACCTGCCTAAGGATCGAATCACCCACTACCAAGAGTCCCCCTCCCACCCTGCTC